TTCTAATCTGACATGCAGTGGCAGAGACCATTACATCACATAGACACCGCTGAGATAACACAACAGTTGCAGATGCATTCTCAAAGTGGCCCTGCAGCAATAAGCACTAAATTGGTAGCACTCTTTATCCAGACTCTTTTTAGCACTTGAACAAGGCTAGCTCTTATACTTAACTATGCAAATAGGCTGACAACGGAGATTTTAATGCTGCTTTAAGCATGAAGAAAAAAATACAGTAGGATGGTATTCTCTTTCCACTTATCCTTTCTCAAGTTTGAGAATGTCTGCTGTGGATTGTGATATATCTTGTATCATTCTAATGGGGCGACAGAGATAAGCTTATCAGCTCACAGAGTGCTGGCAGTTCTGCTGAAGCCAGTGGAGCTCGTGCCAGATGAGGATGCGGTCCGCTGTGTACATCTTGAAAGGCCTGTCTTAATGGTGAAGCCCCCAAACCTGTCTAAAATTACTAAACTAAAAGGTACCTTTTTTGTAAAGCAACCAGACTGGAGGCAGTACTTGCACCCGCTGTAAGTAGACTTAGTGCTCTGCAGTTAGCAGAGAGTGTTTGTGCAGGTTTAATGTATGATGTGTGGACCCTGCCTGTGACTTGGTTCTTAAAATGGATTGCCACACAGAACTGTCATACTTAGAAAATTTACAGCTTGCCGAGTGTGAAGTTAGGCCTCTGCCTACATTTTGCAGAAGCCATATTGCACATTTATTTTTATCATGTTCCATATATTAGGGACTACATACAGACACCTCCATTTTTTGTCCCATAGATATTTCTTGTTCTCTAGTTAAGTTGGCTGTACTTAGCTTAAATGTTTTTTCTAGTGAAAGGCTGTAACAGCATTTCTTTTCGGTGGATCTTTGATTATTTTTTAACAAGCCTGAAATGAGGTGACCAAATCTCAATCATGCATCTAATCATCTTGCAATGAATGTAGCGTAATTTATAAGCACTTGAACAACATTTCTCATCTTCAAAGCACTTTACAAATGCTATTAAGAACTTCCTTTCATAATAGATATTATCCTCCCCATTGTGGAGAGAGAGAAATCAACAGAGAGCACAAGTGACTTGCCCAGGGCCACAGTGCAAACTGGCGAGACGGCCACACCTAGAAATCAATTTCTGCATTGACTCTTTGCCTTCTTGCTTGGGATCTTTAAGTAGAAATTATCCAGAGTGTTAGCTTCTGGAATGCACAGCAGAGCAGAAGTGTAAATATAACACCACATTAAGGACGACTCCCATATGTTGTTTTCAGAGGGAGTTGGGACAGCCAATAGTGTTCCGATCCCTGAAAGTACAGGTAGGTTGTATGTGACTCTTTTCACCCAAAACAGATTAGGCAAAGAAATCAAGATAAAGTGGTTGGCATTCACAGAAGGAAAACTCTAGGAAAGCAGCTATGATGTGGGAACTGACTTCACATGCACACAGCATAGGATAAAAAGTAAGACAGACATAGTGTATGCTGTATAATCAATAATCTCTTTACAGCCATTAATATCTGTCATATGAACAGAATACTCCTCAGAGCTGCTCAGTGGCACTCCAAAAAATACTAGTACCACAGCATGATACTATGCTAGATCCTTTTTGTTTGAATGGCAGCATTGTTTCCAAGCTATGCATCGTGATCACAGAGAAGTCTGGAAAAGGGTTCAAATAAGGTAAAGGAGAGAGTTCACACTATCCAGGAGACCACTCCCTGCCTGTCACTGGTGAAGACAGTGCCTTTTATCCAGGACAGGGGGAATGAATATTTACACAGTTAATAACTATAGCCAGCTCTTATACTTCTGTCCTGAACTACCAAGGCTGATGTTGGCAATGAAAGATCATTAGCTTTTCCTAGCTAGTTTAGATGCTAGCCAGTAAATAAAACTGCTGAACTCTCCTCCCTTGAGGTGCCCAAGCTGCTGCCAATTTGTTGGAAGTGAGCCGTTATACAATAATCAGTGGGTCCAAAACATAATGAGTACTTGTAGAGAGATTAAGAAGACACTGATGCAAAGGATTTTGGCACAAAGATTACATTGTCTTTCTTGCCTCTTCATTATGCAGTTATGTAAGGCTTTATGAAATTAACTGCTTCACACAAAACTGCCTGGAAAAAGTAAAGCAAATTAAGAAGGGGTGTGTGCCTTCACTTGCTCTTCTTCAACACACGCCTCTGCTAGCACTTGGAAGGTAGCAACAAAGCAAGCCCGTTCTACAGTGGCGTTGTGTCAGTTCAAATGAGAACAAGCACATACACTTCAGGAATGGCTTTGTTATGGTTTGATTTTGCTGTACAAAGTACTTGCTGCTTGCAAAGTATTTCTGGTAGACACAGCATTTAGAACTGGCTGTTAAGTTTAGGTCATAACACAGGAAGGATATGAACAGGGTTTCTGAAGTGCCTAGTGTGGTGCCAGTTGGGGAAACCAGGTACTAACATGCTCCAGATTATTAAAATCTTCCAAGTTCATAATAGTTGCACTTTTTGTATGTAAATGCAAATTATTTTGACAGAATAATGAAGTTTGGTTTTCTAAAACTTCATGGTTTGGGTTTTTTTTTTTGACATGACTAATGGGATAACTGGTGGAGGAATGCTTACATAAACAGAAACAGCAGCACTATGGTATCATCTGCTTTTTGTGGTCATAACAAACAGCAGTGCAGGAAGATGCTCTTTTGCCTCCCCTCTGTGCTTGGGGAGAGGATGCCACCCAGAACATCAGCACCGAGCAGGCAGAGGACTGCAGAGCAGGGACCCCACTGCCATCTGCCAGAAGTCAGCACGGGGGCTTGTACAGCACCAGTCCGACCCGCGGCCCTGCAACTGCCTTCCTCGCCTGGCCCTGGCTGGGTCCATCGTGAGCCCACAGCTGGGTCTGTCCCAGCTCCACTTGCCAGCACACCTTGCATGGCGTGCCTCCACGGGGTGCTGCTCGCAGCACCTACTTTACAGAATGAGGCTTGCAGAAATTGGGACAAGGGACTGGGCCACAAAGCCCAGTCCCCAGCTCAACCCACCGGAACTCTGCACAAGCGTAACCCACCCTTTTGATCTCAGAAGCTCTTTGCCTCAGTCCCATTTGGCTCCCATTGCTTTATTAACAGCATAAATTCTTGCACAGGCCTCTCACACGTACCATTAAGCCTGGCTAACCCCTAAAATTAGCTTCCTTACAGACATAATGAACACTGCAACCTTGTTGCTCTGCATATGGCTTGATCTCACCCAAGGTTATAATAAAGTATACTAATTGTTGAACAAAACCACCTAGAAATTAGGTCCAGCCTCCTCATCTCTGTGCACTGCACTAAAGAGAAACTACTAAATTACTTGTACTAGTGTAATTTTGCTCAGATACAATAGCATCCATCTTTCAAACAACACGAGGAAAGGCCAACTAGCTATATACACTACAGCAGGGAGCTATAAGGTACCAGTAACCGTGTACAGCTCTGGGATGGCTCCCTGTTTTCTGGAACAGTGCTGGGTAGGAAGGCAGACCTGAAAATCCTCCTAAAAATCCATGCCCGTACCTTAATTTGTCCCAGACCAGGCAATGGAATCCCTCAGCCTTTCTAGTCTAAGCCTAGAGCAATACAAATGCTGCTAAAGCCCAAGCTTGCTTTGTAACAGTTTACTTTTGCTTTATACAAAACTGCCAAGAGACTTGTCAATTATAAAATAGCAGCCAATGCTGGTATTTAATGAAGTGTATCAGCTCACAGAAAGACCAGGACAGCTATGGAAAACAAAACAGTGAGTAGGTCTACGCTTGCACGTTCAATTTATTGGTCCTATGTTTAACCTCATCAAGGCAAAAAATACAAATGAAATAGCTTGTATTTCATAGCACAAGCCTCTAATCTCTGCAACTCTCAAGTGAAAAACAATTTCAGAAGCTTCACTTCTTACATGAAACAAGTTTAAATATAAAACCAAATAAAAAAGCCAGTGAAGTGTCTCACACTGTGTCATCTCAATGTTTTTAATTTGCTGCAATGTTTTGCAATAGATGCACATAGCTTCTGCACTGTAAATTTTACAGTGCTTTTAGAGGCTTTCACCCATGTGGATAGGGAATTTGTGGCAGCTTTAAGCACACTGAAAAGCACAAGAGATGTTTGGGATTGTGAAAAGAGGTTTATAGCGACATTTCTGCTAAAATTATCTATACCAGAACACTCCATGCACTTAGCAGTTTAATCAAGTCATTAAAACCTGCTGAATAAAGACAGTTCCTGTCTTAAAAATATTGTTTCAACTCCCCACATGTGACAAGAGATGACATCTTTTGAACCATAATTTTTTTTTTCTCCTAAAATGCCACCATATGAGCTGCATTGCAGGATTTGACACATGCACATGTATGAAATCAGAAAATAGTTGTTGCAACCCTGAATTTAGTAACAGGCCCCCCACTTAAGCACACAAAAAACCTTTGGGTGGCCCACTCCTTTAAAAGGTGTCTTTAAGTATAGGTCTCTCCTTCTCCCTTAAGATCTGATTTTGGTAAACCCACAAAAAATTATTTCCACATTTGTCATCTAGTCCTAGAGAGTCTTCATGGTCTCACTGCATCAGCTTTATTAGGTACTGTCATTAGGCATTGCATTTTTTCTTCATCTCTGAATACTAAAATACGTAGATCTAGGAGTGGTCTTTTGGGTAATGTTCCCAAATGGATTTTAAAACACCTCTTTAAACTCCACATGGAGCTTGCTTCTACTCTCAGAAAGCAAATGACACAGATGAAAAAATCCAGACCTTTAGCTCCCTTCTTACAGTAACACTCCCAATTCTACACAAAAGCTTTATGGCTCACTCATGAACAACTGCCAACAGGGGCAGGGGGGGACACAGCAGGATTCCACTGGCAGTGCAGAAGGTATATCTTTAAAGATATTGCAAGAAAAGGGAACAATGTTTTGTGGATAAGACATTCTTGATTTACGATTAAATATATTTTGGAACGCAACAGCATTTATAGCAAACTTTTATTCAATAGTTTAAAAAGTGTATGGAAATTTTCATGAACAAAGTTAACGGAAAATACCTTGTTTTCCCATTTAAAAAGTTCTTCTGCAAGAACATTCATTAAATGCACTTACCTACAGTAATCAGTTTTAAAATGCACAGGTATTTTTGGATTTCTTGTACACATATATAGTATTTCCAGAGTTAAGAAGCTACTGTCCTGAGCGATGTATGAAGAGACATTATTTAAACTACCTAGTTACAGGACATTTATATAATTAACAACAAGCACAGAACAATTTATAGACTTTAAACATTTAATGTGCCTTTTCATGAAGGAAGGCAAATGATAACTGTAGGACTGCTGAACACTGAGTGTCAATTTAGTATCACGTATTTAGATCTGCAGTATAAACACACGCACAAAACATTTTTGTGGAGTACATTTTGTTACAATAAACCAAGCTTGTATTCCATCATCATGTGTGGTTCTCCCATAACCTCACTTTGTGAAGGATCTGGAAAAAAAAAAAGGCAACAGCATGAAGCTTTTACCAAGCTTCAAAGACCAACAATAACTATGAACATGACCATTTTTTTCCCCCCCCTCCTCATTCTGATGCTTAGTGCAGCAGTTCCTTCACTGATTTTTGACACTGTTGCACAACACAGATCTGTGACTCCTAAGTCTCTATCCACAGCAATGATCAGGTAACACACACTTCTATAGTGGAACAGTATTTCGTACGGGCCACCCGCAGACACTTCAAGTAAAACCAACTAGTTTGACATAAGCACCTTCTCCTATAGCCTGAATCTCACACCTGATTGAGTTTTGTGTTTAAGAAAACTCAAGTCTGATTGAAGATTTTCCCCACAGGTGCCCCACATCTTTCTAGTGCAACTTCATTGCACAACAGGAGCTCAAACTCCTCCCTTCTGTTAGTTGGGACACACTCATGGTTTCTCTTCTCCACCTAATTGCCTAGTTTCACAGAAATTCTATGCCCTTAAGTATCTCTGAGATTTCCTGCACTCTGTAAAGTCTGGTTGACATTAGTCACTGTACTCAAAGGTTATCAAAGAATGTGCAGAGGACAAAAAAAGATACCAATACTGACAGTACGAACTTAATTTCCATTAAAAAAAAATAAAAAAAGAAGATCAAGGCCAGAAAAAAGTTGTGACTGCACTTTGGAAGAAATACACTTTTCTTTATGGATGTATCAGAGTGTTTTCCTTCCACAAATAAGGCATATTAATGCCTTTGATTACTCCAGAGACACCAGATTAGATAGTCCAGCCCCATCTGATAAACAAAAACTTACCAAAAACACTTCTAACCCACTCACTCAGCACTCCATAAATATGTAACATCTTGTTGTGATCAATGGTAAATAACCAAATTCCTATAAGTTATGTTTGACATTGTTCTACCCTCTGAACCACAATAACCTAAGATTCCCTCTCTTACTCGCTGTAAATCCATCCCAGATTTACCTCATCCCTCTAGATTCCCACTTGCCCCTCCATTATTTCCAGTTTCCTATCTCTCTGGCTCTTTCCATTCTCCAGTCCCACCTCAAAACACACTCTGCCTCCTTCCATGTCCTTCATTACCATCCAGAAAGAAATAATTTTTCTTAAACTATTTTTCCAGGTTTATTCTATTCCACACATACTGTCAGTCAGTAGCTCACCACACAACTGCAAACCGCTGAGTTAATCTGAGGGAGCCTTCCCCCACCACACCTCTGGTTCTTTTGGTATCTCTCCTGTAGACGTACTTTCTTTTTAATTACAGAACTTATAAAAAACTTTGTATCTTCGTAAGTGCGGCCTGTCAAAATCTGCACAAGTAGTTCAGAAGTTTCTGAGGAAACAAGTATACCACGTAAGGGCATAATCTTCTAGTCCTTTAGAAACCCAGTCTACAAGTAAATACTGGCTTACTCAGTATTTCAGAGTCATTTCCACACAACTAGCAGCTGAACTACATTTATGTCTCCTCCTCCCAGCACTTCTTTGCCTTAAGGAATTAAATTTTTTTCTTTCTATTTTGTGCATTTAATTCTCTTATTCCATAGAGGCAAAGAACTTCACAGTTCCAAAATTTTACCTTTAAATGTTTCCGTAACATTCAAAACAGAACATATTTACCATTAAGGATATCCTCAAAACTGATGCATTCATCATTTCCCCTCAGAGTATCCAGTGCTATGTTTGAGCTGTGAAGAAATGGGAGACGCTGGACCTGTAAAAAGACAGTAAGAGTTCAAGTTTCTGCAAGTCTGAAATTGAGGGGGTTTAATATTTGGATTTCTCAGTCTGAAGTGACTGAGAAAAGCAACAGGCAGAGTCACTTCTTCCTTCAAAAACAACAATGAAATAAGAAAACTACTGGCACACATAAACAGCAAAACCTACCTAACACCACCATCCTCTACCCTTTATCTCTGTTTCAGAAAGAACAGCCTTTCACTAGATTTGTAGCTTTCACTGCAGTGTAGCTACTACAGCAAATATTGTAGTTAAAAGAAAAAGAAGTAGGTTGGGTTTTTTTCCTCTTCTGTTATCACACAAAACTGGGGAAGCTCGCTGCAACAAACACACCTACACCGTGAGGTCAGTATTGGGTTGTTCACATACACTGCAGTGTTTGGAAACCACATTCTAAGTTTTCTACAACTCTGACAAGTCAGGAATGTAAAGTGAAAGAGCAATATTGATTTTCATATCTAATCATAATCCTCCTTGCAATTAATCATAATTATTTCCCTTATCCCCACCAATTCTTAAGCTTCCAGTCCACTCCCAGTTACTTTCAATACTCCTTCACCCACAGTATTACAAAAAATTTTCAAGTGGTATACACAGCATTCAGATCCAAAATATTCTGAGAATGGCATATCTGTACTTACAATTGCATCCATTACTAGTGGTGATACTTCAGTTACACCACAAACATATTTTACAACCCTAAAATGATCACGTAGCTATCTCTTCACACAACTGTCAGAAGTTCAAATACACTATTCCAGTAAATATTTTTGAAAAATGAAGTTAACACAAGAACACTGGTATATCTCACATGAAGCTGGGAGTGAAAAAAACACTTCTAATCACCATATTTCCCCCACCCATGCCCCAAGAATACCTGTGGAGACACATTAGCAGGATATCCTCACCTGCCTCACAAGTTAGAAAAAAGAGTTTCCCCTCACAAGAGAGAGCACAGCTGAGATCAAGGGATGCTTTTATACATCCTGTCTGACTTTCACATCTTCAGGACCAGTAATTTCTGCCAAGTTTAATGCATCTCACTGTGATTCAGTAGCATCTGATCCACTGGAAAGGAGTACAAAATTGCTCTAACTCACTTGGATAAACAACTTTTAGTAGCCTGATGACCTTCAACAAGCCAAAAAAAAGTTTACTAGGACCAATGAGCTTTATGTGTTTCCTAAGGGACATCAGCATCCATCCAGTTACTCTCCATCCTAGGAGAAAAAAGTAGTAAAAGGAGAGAGACGCAGCTTCCCAATTAAGAGCTAAAAATCTTTGAACTTAACTCCCCGTAGACCGCCTCTGATCTTACAAGAAAGGCTACGGCACAATAATAAGCACATCATGGATCCTCTGCTTCAGGTTTGACGTTACCTCTGTATCCATTCCCAAATCACTACCTGCTTCAGATCTCTAACTCTCTTTGCCCTACAAGTACAGAAATTCCTTCCTGTGAAGGTCATACGTTCTACAGAGAAGGGTATTACTTTTAGGAATCAATACTCAATTCCTCCTGCTTTTCTCTGAAGGCTTACAGGAAGCTAGTCCACAGAAACACAGAATGGTCGGGGTTGGAAGGGACCTCTGTGGGTCATCTAGTCTAATCCTCCCGCCGAAGCAGGATCACCTACAGCAGGCTGCACAGGACCTTGTCCAGGCGGGTCTTGAATATCTCCAGAGAAGGAGACTCCACAACCTCCCTGGGCAGCCTGTTCCAGTGCTCCGTCACCCTCAGAGGGAAGAAGTTCTTCCTCATGTTCAGACGGAACTTCCTGTGCTTCAGTTTGTGCCTGTTGCCCCTTGTCCTGTCACTGGGCACCACTGAAAAGAGTCTGGCCCCATCCTCCTGACACCCACCCTTCAGATATTTGTAAGCATTTCTAAGGTCCCCTCGCAGCCTTCTCTTCTTCAGGCTGAACAAGCCCAGCTCCCTCAGCCTTTCCTCATAGGAGAGATGCTCCAGTCCCCTCATCATCCTTGTAGCCCTCCTCTGGACTCTCTCCAGTAGCTCCTCATCTTTCTTGAACTGGGGAGCCCAGAACTGGACAGAGTACTCCAGATGAGGCCTCACTAGGGCAGAGTAGAGGGGAAGGAGAACCTCCCTCAAGCTACTGGCCACACTCTTCCTAATGCACCCCAGGATGCCATTGGCCTTCTTGGCAGCCCTGGCACCCTGCTGGCTCATGGTCAACCTGTCGTCCAACCCGACACCCAAGTCTCTCTCTGCAGAGCTGCTCTCCAGCAGGTCCGCCCCAAGCCACAGAAAATGTAGAGCAGTTACCACTTCACCAAGTGACCAGTAAAAGAATGGCAGCTGAAAGGCTTTAGCATATTGACTGTTTTGGAAACTATTAATTCCAGTGTTTGGTTGGTTGGTTTTACTAAAAGCAGTACAGTGAAAGAATTTTTTCTGAAATATAAGGTATTTCAACAAAGAAAGATGTCTCTCTGAAAGCATGTTCCGAGATAAAAGTTTTTTTAAGTGGTTAAAGTTACACCAGTTAGATGAAAATGTCTACCTGTTTCACAGCTCTGAATTCCATCTGCAGCTTTAAAGGTGCGTGGAGTCCTTGAATGTTTCTCAGCGTGGCAAAGTTTGTTTTATCTTGATTTAACTGGAACTATCACAAACAACATTGATTTTTATTTTAGAAAAAGTTACTTTCAAGTACAGCTGTAGAACAGATTTGTGACATACTACTTAAAAGAACACGCTTATTAAATTTGTATGTAAAAATTCAGTGATACCATCATATGTCTCAAATGTACACCACAGATAGCGATGCAGTAATATTTGTTTTATGAAAATGAAATGGCTTTTTGGTGGATTTTATTACAAATCAATAACAGCAATTTTATTTTGTTTTTTTGACAATTAGGACATATAACACCACCAAGTGGTCTAGTTTTGCACTACTTTACTACAATATTGTCAGCACAAATTGGAAGCTAAGTCTGGTTTAAAGTAAGAACACAAACTTTAAGGCCACAACAGATGTTAATGTTAGCCACCAAAGACTCTACTTGAAAACACTTGAAATACTTCTGTTTTGATGAAGTAGGAAGACAGAGCACCACATATATTCCATATGACTCCAAAAAGCAAAAGAAAGCTCGTAGTTTTACCAACTGCTCTAAAACTCATCAGTAAGACAAAGAAAATCTATTTAGTAGAGGGTTCTTTTAATGAAGAAGTGCAGGCTCATAAATACTGAAGTACACAAAAATAACTTATGCCTAATATTAACTTAAGCTTGAGTAATCCAGTCTCAGATTCGGCTTTTATAGTAGTGACTATATGCCTGTAATGTTGACAGAATACAATATTGTGAAGTAAAACAAAAAATACAAATCTCGTATTTTAAAACCATGACATATTTTAAAACAATGACCATGACTAAAGCCTACTACTATGAAAATACAATCGCGTTTCTGCAGAGGGATCTCAAAAACCAACAGGAAAATACAAGTTAAAGGCATAACATGCATTTTCTTCATAATAACCTGTATTGAACAACCTTCAAAAGTTAGCAGAAAATACTATTTATATGCCTTATCCTAAACTTACAATTCTCGTCACATTATTTTTCCATTTCTTTTATTTTATAAAGGTAGAGATCCTTATCTGGGTAGCAGAAAGATTTGGTTTCTGCTAGTACTACCTGAATAAACTACCATTTCTGGCAGTAAAAACCGTAACTATCTCAGGCTAAGAAAGGTCTTTTTCTATTCAAATGCACATGAAAATAGTTATAAGGTAAATCAGTCAAACCTACATAAAAAGTAACAAAATAACATGTGGAAAAAACAATTTACAAGTTTCACATACTTCTTAGGGGATCACATTGTCAGTTGCAATTATTTCTGCGTTTTTTTTTTATCTCTAGCATGTAATCTTTTAATTATGCAGGTTCTATACAGCAAGAACAGAGTTAAAAAATAAGAGCAGTCAGCTGTAAAAAAAATATGAATTGACAAATAGCTTGGAAACATTTATAATATTTATAAACAAGCTCGTGAAGTTGGTGTCACATTAACATCATGCTTTTAACTCAAGGCAACACTAGCACTGGTTAGACTCAGAATACATTTGACATATTCAGACCTTGTCATGCTGATTAGCTTAGCAATTTGGAGCATTATATCCAAATGCTGCCTTTTCTTCAGGACATTTTATTACATCAAATCTTCTGTGCAGACAAAACAGGCACCAGAAATGAGATTCAGTTCAATCAGTTATTTAGCCAAGGCTGTCACTCTAGTCTCCCTTTACCTTCAACCTAGGGTCCACAGACAGTCTTAAGCGGTCCGTGAGTCATGACTAAGCCAGAGAAGACTGCATACACTTACAACAAACTGTATGTGTAAAATTTCTAAGTAGTATCAAATAATCTAATGAAAAGCATTTATGGGTTCACAGACTGAAAGTCTGAAAATGAAGATATATAGTAAAGTTACAGACAAAATGGGAGGACCAGCCTTCCAGAGTTGACAGGTGTGCTGCCCCACCTAACCACAGAGGCTGCATACACAGCTAGCTTAATAACTTTTAGATGATAAACCTTACTAAGTAAATCCCCAACTTGGAAACCCGCTTACAGACTTGAAGTGGAGAGAGTCACAAGTGGGAGGTTAACATTAAACAAATTTGCCTACAATGTTATATATATAGATACAATGTTACTGTTGTTGAACATACTTACTCTGTTAATGGCAAGAACCTGCTCACTACTTATCACCACACAAAGTGGTCCTGGTAACCACACTGTTATTTTAAACTTCATAATTAGTTAAGAGTGAAGATGGCTACACTTGATGTTATACTTACATTTTTTTCTGTCAGCTCTAGTGGGTGGCTGGGCAACAATTCATTTTTCACACTTGTAAAGCTGGAAATACAAGCAAAAAAAATGAACTACAAAAAATAAATCAGGATATCGCTTTTTAAGTTGCATTCCAAAACCAATCTCAAACATCAACCTTGAGACACACATGATTAGCACACTTCGAATTACACAAAAAAAACTCCCAAACAACAACAAGCTTAACAGTGAAGCAGCAAATAAGACCTCTGACTACAGCACTACCAAAAGCAAAAAAGTTTCATTTCAGGCATCCTTTTTTCTTTATGTTTGACAACACAGAATGACAGCTTTTCTTCCTTGACCCCCTTCAGAGATAGAGAAAAAAATATTAATTAACATGTAACGTTTTCATTTATTATGTCCAAGCTACATGGTATCTGATTTTAGAAGTCTCCAAGCTTCTGCAACTGGATATTGTACGCACCTTTTTCCCCTCCCTCTCACAGTTGTATTAAACTCATTTTAAACTCTATGAACTTATTTCAGATTCATTATCCAAGACACACACACTCACATAAAATGTCAAAAAAAAAGACAACTATTTTTACATTAACTTTACTTTTTGTACCAATGCTGAAATTAACCATTTCCCACAGTGCTATGGCATGCTCACATACATGTATTTTACATCTACCATATCTTTCACCATTATTAGTAATTTGCCATGACTCTTCTAAAAGGGCATATCAAACAGGTAAAAGTACATTAATATTACCTACTTCCTGAAGTGAAAAGTTTCACAAAAAATTCAAGCTTGAAAGACAATCTGACCAAACACATGTCCTTTAAGGTACAGCTTTTGAGATACATTTCCCAAGAATCTTCTTTAAATGTCAACATCTAATACACGCCTTCTTCCTATACCTGAAGCTGAACATCAGCTATGTCACTATTCAACAAGAAAAAAAAGTTAAGCATACCCTCTACGCAGAAGATCATGACCTTCAAATGGTCCTGAAGCTGAAAATTCAGGAATTGGGACAGTATCCTTCAACAAAGAAGGAGCGCCTCTGGAATTCTGGAACAAAAACGTGAGGATTACTTTAACAGAACCAGACCTCTTTTGCATGGGCCATTAGTCCAGGCAAACAAAACAAAGTGCTCCAAGGCTCCTTAAACTACTCACAAGCCCTAGACTCCAGCATCTCTATAAAAAAAGAAAAAAAAAAAAAACAAAACAACCACACCACACACCAAAACACAAACCCCACACTAAAATTAGAATTCTTTCAGAGAGTTTGAAGACAGTTAAACATACTGAGAACACATTTTTTGGATCTAGCTGAAACAGTTAAACTTGCAATTATCCCTTGTTCATTCCCACCCTGGGCTGCAGGGATGGAAAGCAAGAAGGCAGGTTATGCTCAGCTGACAGGACAGAAGGGAACATGTCTTGAGTATAATTTCATTTGCTTCAATACTGACACAATCAAGTAAGAACAATCTGATTTTATCCATGGTTTAAGGCGGCCATGAGGAGGACAAGGTGTATTCAAATGGTCTAATATGCCAGTTAACTGAAAGAGCAAAGGAAAAACAGTAACGTAGCAGAAGACCAGAAAAAACACACCTCCACAGACTGAGTATGTAAAGCCATCTTAACCCAGGCCATTAATTTCATGTTAACCTGCCTGATTTCACTGAAGCGGTTTTGGGACCATTCATACAAATTGCTTCACTAATATGCCAATGTATAATAAATTCTGGAAGGTGACAGCGGCAAGCAGTTCAGCACAGGAGTCTCCTCCAGCAGCACTGCTGGATCCAACAGGACATTCATATACGTACAGTTAAGGTCTTTTGTACTAACAGGTTCACCACCAATAACCTAACAGCTATGAGAAAACCCTAAAATACCTGTCGTTACATGCACGTAACGCGCCTACCAACACTGACCGGGCCTTTCTGAGATCGCTGCAGGCAAAAGCATTAACGAGACACATCACCTGGGCGATGTGACAAGAGGGAGGGTCAAGGCGGACGTCAAACGTGAAGAAAAAAACAGCGACATGCTCCCCGAGCCGCGCCAGCGGCCCGCCC